GGTAGGAAAGCTTGTAGGTAAAGAAGAAGGGTTTTATTGGGGGGGGGGTACTCGTCATCTCGTGTAATCTTTCCCCCCTCTTGCCAAGCAGACTCGGGCGTAAAACGGAAACCAGGTGCTGCTTGCTGCTGTTGTCGGGGCTGAGCAGCTGCTTGGGAGAGGCGAGCAGGAGCTTGGAGTTTCCTCACTCCCTTTCCCCGGCCTGCCTGCGTCTTCGCTCGCAGCTCACTTTTATTTTACTTTCCCACCCGTTTCCGACCTCCTCTTCCCCTCCTCCCTCGGGCAGTCAGGAATGATGCGGGAGAGTGGCAGGAACACGTGAAAGCGAGAAGGGGGGGGATCTGGAGTATGTGGGAGAGTGGCAGGAGGGGGGGGGGATCGGGAGTCCTAAGGGGGGGGAGGAAATGGCTGGCTGGGCAGCGTGGGCTGCTTTGTAATAAGGGAGAAGGTGGGTTTTTTCCTTCCCCAAGGGGGCTCTCTTTCCCCCACTACTTTTCATTCAGTTAGTCGGGTAATTTCTGGTTCCTGAAGCTGACAGGTGCTCCTCCGAGTCAGTGGCCACTTCTCGCACCCTTTCCTCCTTTTCTTGACTTTCCCGATCCCCCCCCCCCTTTCCATGATTGTCGCGCCCTTGGGAAATTGATTTGAGAGCCCAGAGTATGCTTTGAACTTTAGGGCAACAAAGAACCCTGGAGACGCGGAGGGGGGGGGGAGAGACTGTAGCGGGACAAAAAAAAGTTTTGGATGGGATTATGCGGAAACTACCCTGCTCTTTGCTGCCCGAGCAGGCTCAGTGCTGCTTTCTCCCTAGCGGTGCAGCCTTCGCGTGGTGGCGGAGGTGGTGAAAAGGACGCGGGGGGTGCTTGAGCTGCAAGTGCTTTGGCGTGTGTGCGTGAGAGTTTAGACCCAGCCTGCCAAATGCTCCTCTTCGGGTTCCTCTTGCTGACATTTGCCCTGGTCAGCCAAAGGCAGGGAGCTCAAGCCCAATCGAACCAGCAAGTTCCAGTTCTCCAGCACCAAGGAGCAAAACGGCAAGGCGCATTCCAGGTCTGTGTTTTGTTGTGTCCTTGTCGTTGCAGCTCACGCTGGGGAAGGAGGAGTCGCCGAGGAAAGGAGGGTTTGCATTCCCTTTGCTTCTGCAAAACTCTGGGGCTGGGCTGTCGTAGAGCAGCCCATGACAACTTTTCAAGACCTGCGAGTGTTTTCCACGTTTGAGCTAGAAGCTGTTTCTACATATATCTATATATAGATATAGATATTCGAGTGGGGCTGTAAATATCTCATTGAAACGTGCGCACTTTGGTGAGGGGTGGGTGGGCATCTTTGACAGAGTGAGCTTTCAAAGACTGAAGCCATAATGAATGAGAGTTAGCAGATCTGCCTTCACTGTGTGTATGACACTCCGGGAAATTTGTCAACCTCTTAACTGGAGCAAGATAGGTAAAAGGGCACCAATTAAAAAAGGAGAAGACTCCCCCCCTCTTTGTGTGTAGTGGTTGCTGGTGTGGCTGGTCTAATTACCCTCCCCCCAGTTTGTATCTGTCTGATAGTGTGGGTTGATGGAGTATAAACTCTATTTTGTATGTGTTGGAAACGGGCTAATCTGCATAGGAAATGAGAATTGCTTTGAAGTGTACCTGAAATGTTTAGAAAACTCTCAGATGCAAATTCCCTTGGGCTATGGGTTGAGCAGAGTGGAGAAAGACTCCTTTCATACAGAGGGCAGTTTCAGGGTGTGTAATTTGCTTAGCCTCCGAACTCCATATGATTTACATTATTCAGATTTTTAAGGCCTTTCACCCTTGATCTTCTATTAGGAAGTCCCTTAAAGCAATACTTTGCAAACAGAAATGTTATATGCCACATGAAACCACCCCATGAATGCAGGCTGTCGGAACTTAGGCTATTAAACACCCTGTTTTCCAGTGATGTATGCTAATGTAAGGGGAAAATGTTTTAGTAGTTTCCCCTTAGCTAGAAAGACGTGATTTCATCTAGGCACAAACTAGCCAAACAGGCATAAATAAGAGAAGAAAAAAATCTTTGCAGTAGGAAAAAATGAACACAGTATTGAATAACATGTCAGTTTGAGGAAAGGCTCAAACTAACAGGCATCCCTGTGATTTTGGAAAATGGTTTTCTTAATGTACATTGTATGTTTTGTCTGCTGTTACAAAGCAAACAGAGAATTGAATAGCCTCTTACAAATATATGGATCTGCAGAAAATGCTTCATGTTATTAAATTTTAGCAAGAGAGAGTCATATTGTTGCTGGTTCCTAATGTGATGACATATGGCACCTGCAGACTGCCAGAGCTGGTGATCAAAGAGCAGCCTTGGGGATCAGTCTCTAACCAGAGCAACTGCAAAGGGCCAGGGGAAAGTGATCAAAAGAGTCAGAAACCCAGCTGTACTACCACAGGAAACTAATCAGACTAACCTTTGTCCTCAAGCAGGAAAGCATCCACCTTGTATGAGGGCGGAGAATCTAATCTTCACCCTTAAGTTCCTCTGCAAAGTGGATGTTTTAGAGCTTCACAGAATGTTCATGTTAACCAGTGAGTTGCAAGAAGTAATATAATACTCCAGCTGGCATGTGTCTTAAAGTGCTGCAGTATAACCCTAACCATGCCTACTCAGAAACAAGTTCAGTGGATCTTACTCTGTAAGAAGGTTTAGAATTTCAGCCTTAGTTTTGTCAGGAGGGCAAACATGGTGGCCGAAAGTAGTTTGTGGATTGCAGTGTCAGTGCAATTGTATGGTTTTTGGTAGTGAACTTCAGTCCAGATGAAATTATGCACCTGTTTACTTTGCAACCAGTTATTCCAAGGAGTTTGGAGCAGCATTATGTAAATTTCTATACATAATTAGTTTTTTCACATGTAAAAGGCTATTTGAGAGCATCCTTCTTCAAACAGGGAGAAGGATTTGGCACTTAAAGATACAGAAAGGTCTAAATGTACAAGAAAGTATCAGAGTTGGAGAACTTGCCAGTCAGTAGATGTAGGATGGTTTATGGTTAGCTTCATAGATGACATTGATAGTTAAATTTCTTTCAGTTCACATGGACTCAATTCACTGTGTATAAAGCACTGAATTACTGAAGATACAATAGAAGCCGGAGAGTACTCAGAAGTGGCATCACGGTCTCTTTCAATAAACCCAGGGCCAATAAGTGATCTGGGATGCCATGCTTCTAATTGTATTGTTTGTGACTGTTTATATATTTGGATTACAGGCTTCTGTGATTTACTTTCTACATTTGTCAGCATGTCATAAATTCTAATGTAAAAGCTAAACTAAAACCAGCACTTTTCTTAATGCTTACATTATTTTGAGGATCTCATTTATTATAGTGGGACTAGTTTGTAACATGACACAGTTAATGTGATTTTAACTGTCTACTGCACCAGCTAGTTTTTTTGCTGGTGAAAAAGCGAGTGGGGTCCACTTTGACTGCCAAAAGCCTATGCCAGGGTAAAAATCATGTGGCTGTAATAAGGAGAGGAATTGAGTAAAGCTGAGTGAAAAATCTGGCTGGATCAAGCCCATAGTGGAGTTGTTAGTGCTAGGTTAAAACTTGCTGGCAACTTTGAAGCAAGTTGCTGTTCTGATGACACAACACTGTAATTGTAGCATAACAATGCTGTCTTCTCATGCATGTTTTACTTAAAAGAAGAAGAGAAGAGATTGGATTTATACCCCACCCTTCACTTGGAGTCTCAAAGCAGCTTACAAACTCCTTTCCCTTCCCCTCCCCACAACAGACACCCTGTGAGGTAGGTGGGGCTGAGCAAGCTCTTTCAAGAACTGCTCTTTCAAGAACAGCTCTGACAGAACTGTGGCTTGCCTAAGGTCATCCAGCAGCTGCAAGTGGAGGAGTGGGGAATCAAACCCGGTTCTCCCAGATTAGAGTCCGCGCATTTAACCACTACACCAAACTGGCTCTCCTCAACTGAGTTTCCTAGGGTTTGCTTTCCAGGAAATGTTCATAGGATTGTTGACTGATTCTCTGCATGGCACTTACTAGCAAACTTCATAGGACTGCTTCCTTGATCTGATCAATGCAGGTGATATTAATGTATGTACATCTTTATACTATTCAACGTGTGTCATTATTCTCACATAGCAGACGAGGGAGTGGAAGTTGAGGAACATATGGCTCACCTAAGGCCATCTTGTGGGGTTTTGGCACAGATTATATTTGAACTAGGAATTTCTAATTTGTAACTCACTTAATACGCACAAGGCTATTTTAGTAATTTAGTAATTGAGGCAGTTTAGTGGTTAACTAACAATTTTAAATTATTTTAGGTGCCTAAAATGGTTTAAGTTGCTCAGAATCTGCAAATGTTAGATATTAAGTTAGATATAGAAGAATCTGAACTTTTTCAAGTATCTCTGTTAGTGTGTCTTTTAAAACCTTGTCTCATATATCAGAAATAATATTTTTATAGCACCTTTTTCCAGATGATCAGTAGTAGGAGAACGTGTGAATTTTACCAGTTCCTGCCCGGAAGTCAAACTGATAATTGTTTGAGACCTGTGTATCTGCTTTGCAAAACAGTATCGTACATCTGTTTAAGCACTCTGGTGGTAACTAGTTGACATTTTATCATAATGCTCTCATGTAAGCTCTTCTTGATAAATAATCTAGCTTCATTGTGGGTCAGTAATAATTGTTACAGCCACGAGAAAAGGTAAATGATTAAACTGAAATCTCAGAGAAGTCATGGTAGAAAAGTTACCTGAATTCAGATTTCTCATAACCTTTTCCATTTTTGAGCGAACTCTCTTGATCTTCCAGGTTTGGTTAAATATTAATCTTCTGGTAATGGATTTCAAGACATTAAACCTCTGGTTGGAAACATTGGAAAGAATTTTATTTCACACATCTTAAAAGGGCAGTTAGCATGAGAAGGCTTAAAACCATTGTGGTATTTTGATTGTTGACATGCAAATTGTAAGGCTGCAGTCTTGAACACAGCGCATTCCTAAGAACACTTTCCTGGGAGTAAGCCTCACTGAATATACCTGAGTAGGATTTTCTGACCTTTGTAAAATGGAAGTTTAAGTTGTTAGAAGTAGTCTAGTTGTGGTCAGGATCGCAGATGATGTCGTTATAGTTATGTTAATAGATAAGAGACACAATTATCTTATACCTTTGTTGGAGAGCATATGTAAAATTTAATTTAAAAAAAACCCCAGAAAACAAAAGTAGCAGAAAGCTTTCATACTAGGGACAACAAGGCAGGGCAGAAGTTACATTACAGTATGGTAGTAACAGTTCCTCATCTTTCCCCATCATCTGGGAATCAAAGTAAATCCATTAGTTTGAATAAGAATTAGTTAAATGTACGATTGATTTCCTTCCACTGAAACCAATGGGACTGAAAAGTAATTTTGGCTGGATTGTGTTCTCTCTTTAAAGGGGCTGTCTCTAGTGCAAATGGATAAATAAATGCGAGGAGTGCTACATCTAACTGGTGATGCATTTTGATAGCTTTTTTCCAGCCAGCACTTTACTCTGAGTCTAACTTTCAGTAAAACATTTTATTTGTTCCATGTTCCATCTTGATTGAACTTAGTTTTGTTATCATACTGGGATGAAAAGTAATGGCTATAGCAGATCTTGTGTTGTGTGAAAAAGTATTGAAATGGGTGAACTGTAGAACGTTTTCTGCCTAGGTGGATAATGGGATGTGTAGTTTAGTGCACTCTGCAGAGTGGCACATTGGGGCAGTGTCCTCAGGTCTTAGATAGCAAGGATTGGGAGCGTTGATAGGTGCTGGTGAATAGGAGTTGGAACTGAAGATAAGGAGCTGGAGCTGGCACACAGGCTTGTGTCTAGTGGTCCAGTTGATCTAGCAAGGCAGGTTTCCCAGCTTTTTATTATTCCCATTCTCTGGCTCTGGGATGGGACTGTATGCTGCCAGTCGAGCACTTTGTCTCCTTTGGGCCACCTCAACCTGGGGCTT